CAGGGCTAATCTAGTTACCTCGATAAATGTCAATTTGCCTTCATAACCTAGATTCTCATATATATTCGGACAAGTAATTGGCGTTAATTTGGTATCCATCTTTTGCATTGATCAATATCGAAAAGTATTTCACTCTACCCGTCTAGTGTCCAAGCCGTTCCTAAAACTGTGCTCAAAGCAGCAAAACAACTATTAACAAATTAGCCAACTAAAATGCATTAGAAGAAAAAAGTAGGTTTTTAGCGGCATTTCTGAAAGGAGGACTCTGCGGAAACGAGAACAAACGAGAACTGTTTAGAACACGTTTGGTCAAAGGATGGGCTTCACATGTCCCTTTGACGAGTTGTAATATGGTGCTACGAATGGCGAGACTCACTGACGATACCGACTACGATGGCGGCGAAACGTCTGGGAATGTTTCAACATCCACGGTCCGACTCTGGAAATGATGATGCATATAATGGACTCCGGACTAGGTGCGTTCCTTTAAGTCTTCCTACCAATATGACCGAGTTGCGAAAACAAGGTTAAACAACTTCTAAACAACGAAAGGAGACTGCGACCACAAAAAAGGCCACACCATCTTGGTCTTCATACCTTCGAGAACAAACCAAGCTAGCATAAAGTCTTATTTGCTCATTTATTCATGACAAACTTTGGCTCAATTGGATAGTAAGTTAATGAAATATTTCTATAGATAAAATGAGCAAGCCTTTCTTGTGTTACAAATTAATATAAACCAAATGAAGGAACGAATATTAAATATTTTTCGAAGTGGTGATGAGTATATAAAATCAACTAGAGCCTGGTGCCGCTAGTAAAAAGCTTAAAACTAATAAATGGGCTTCATTAACTTTGATAAAAAAAGAGACATCTTGTCTAAAACATGATATTATAAACTTTTGTGGATCCAGACAATAGTTAAATTCACACACGAAAGTTGTATAAAAAATGTGCTCGCAAATGCCTGAAAACTATATGCAAAAGCAAGTAAAAAACAGAGTAACGAATGTAGGACTTTGGTGGAAACAAACAGGAATTTGGACTCGTGTGAATAAAATATCAAAAAAATAATATTATGATGGATATGAGCAATATCTGCTGTTTCATTCGTGACAAAATTCTTTAATATACTTGAGCTGACTTAATACTTGTATCGTAACATAATTCATAATTTATGCAAGATTTGTGGCGTATTTAGAATCGCGAAAAGCATAAGGGTTTCTATGCTCTATTCAAAGAAAAAGAGGAAGAGGAAAAACCCTATCATGACTATGTAGCGTTGTATAAAAAACTATAAATAAATTAATCCTTAAAGAATTTCTACAAAGGACTTGATTTAAGCAAGAAAATATTCACCCAGGATTGAAATATAAGACAGTGAAATCACATGGTAAATCTTAACGCTAATTTATCTTGTTTAAACAAGTCTACTGATAATGTGCCTTTAATATAGCATCACTTTTGAGTTATAACCAAGCCAATAGTTAATTCGGATACGTCTAAAATTCAGAAACGAGCAAGGCTGCAGTTGAGAGCGTGATCGTGTGCTCTTGTCTATGCCAAAGTAGCCTGATCGTCGTCAAAAACTGAGTAAAGTACGCATAATACTTAATCGAACGGAGCGTTTAAGCAGTTAAACTTTAACATCAAGATTCGAATTAGACAATCCTCTCAGCCAATCACGTCTAGTGCTGACATCCTCTAAACATACCTTAAACAAAAACCCTAAAGCAGTTTAATTGTAGCTACCTTAGAAACATGCCGTAAATAAGATGGATCGATTGTGAGCTATCACAAACAATATCCAATAACTGACAAGAGAGCGTAGGACGCAATATATTAGCTACACGAGCTCATCAGCTTCGAATACTTAATGAGAATGGAAGGAATTTTGCTTGGTAATGAGGTTAATATGTCCCAATAATGCTGTTATATTAGGCGATTTCAAACAGGAATGCAACGAGTGCCGACAATGGAGAGAAGTATAATATACATACTTATATCACTTATATCTCTTTATGAGGGTCACACATTTAGCAGCCTTAGCTACCAGATTAAAAGGCCACGAAATTCCAGATCAAGGCTGGAACGTATTAGTTGCTATAGTAAAACGACCATCAAAAGCGATCATAGAATATCGTATTCATTTTTCAGTGATAGTGAATAATGGAGAAAGATTGAAAATAGGCCCCAAATCGACAATGTATAAAAGCGTAAGCACACAACAACAAAAAAGCTGCTTCAGAACCTGCCGATCTTACATCATTTAGAAGCGAAACTAAAGACCTTAAACAGGGCTATCAAGCAGACGATGTTTTGTGTTAAAATAATCTTCATTGGGGACTATAGAAATAAAGTATTTAATCAAAAGCTAATAGCAAAGTTGATTGAATATGTAAAGAAAAGCTGGGTTTCGAGGTAAATAAATTCGCCATTAGATATTTCGTTTCTTATTAAATGATGGATGTAAGGGATTCGAAAATTGGCCTCATTATAAACAGAACAAAAGTTATCTTGCAATTGCGACCATTGACAGAGGAGTCCTTAATACACTGCCCTAGGACCCAATAAATCAGTTTTGGGTTCTAATATGGCATTTTAATCAGGCCTTTAATACGGTCGTGTATTGGAATGTATCAAGTGTACGGTCCGACGCTGAAAATTATTAGGGATAATATGGACTGCAGACGATGCGTTTCTCTAGGTAGCCACGACAACAAGACCAAGTTGCGAAAACTAGGTCAAACCAATTCTTCAACAAAATTGATCAAGTATGGAACCAAAAATGTTGGCTGGCTGAAATCCTTTACCTAATTTTGTCATCGTGATAGGGTATTTTGGTTAGTAACTGAACGCTTTAGGATAAGTGAAGTGGATGTTAATGTGATCAAAATACGGATACATAACCTAAAGCACAAGTGACTTGACCCTGCAATACTAGCGCGTGTTTTGAGTGGAGAAAATGTGGTGCATGTATGCGATTCTTATGGGTAAAATGTGATGTCAAATTACTATCTATACAATAAGAAAAGTAAACATAACCTCATCTGCTGGTTCCCGAAATATCAACTTAATTGCTAAGTAAATCCATAATAAATCAACGGAAACTGCCAGTTTAGTTTATCGAAAGATTGGGGATGAGAATCTTCCTGAGAAATGGGCTTAGAACTTTAAACTAATATTTTACGATGAATCTCAGCAGCCAATGAATATGATCCTTGATTCATTGTTGCAGCTTCAGCCATAGGATAAATTGTAACCAACAGGCATAGAATAACACACCTTCTACCCGAATATAGATGTATATATCCACAAAAGTGTAAGACGCAAAAAGAGACGGACTTATTTTGATGGAAAAATCTGCCTGGAATGTTGAAATAAGCATTTTTGGGATGCATAACACAGTGGAAGTGAATGACAATAAACGAACCTTCAATCCACTTTGCCATGGGCAGATCAGCTATTAGTTTATTAGCCACCTTCGACAAATAATAGGGGCTTCAATATTAAAATTGGGTGACATCTTATAAATGAAAATAGTTATAAATGTTTGCCAAGCAAGAAATTGACATGAGACAAGAACATAATTAAGGATCAATACTATTTCGTGAGAATAAAACCAAATCAAAATCATTGATTTAGTCAACCGAGTTATAATAAAATGATGAAAGATATTTCGGCTTAAGATTTAAAAGGTTAGTATATACTAATTAGCCTAAAGACTGCTTTACTGGATGAGCCGTCAAGAAGTAGTCAGAAGTCAGTAATAATTAATGTATGGTAGTATTAAAAGTTAATTCAGATTAAAAAACAGAATATCATGTATGGGTAATTAGCTTCTAGAATAAAATATATGTTTATGAGCATCAACACTTAATTTTACAATAAAACATATTGTAGAGAATATGCGGCAAACTGCCAAATGGATTAAGGCTACATAGTTAACGAAGAAAATGCGGGCCTCGAAGAATTTCCTAGCTAAGATTGATGTGAAGGCTTTTATTTCGTATGCAAGTACATGCTAAAGAGATTCGTAGGTCAATCTCACCAGAATACGTCGACTAATTCGCGACGTTCAGGTTTATGCTGTCTACGAGACTACGCGAATCAGCCGACGTCTTCTAGTGAGACTGGCCTACGAATCTCTTCAGCATATACTCCAATATGGAATGAAATTCTTCAGAACAATACATAGTATCGTTAGTATCCATAACTTACCAAAGCCAGGGTGAAGGCTGACACAGACTCGGCTTCCAAGTACTTGTTTATCTGCGCCCCAGTATGCCTGGTAGGCACGTTCAGCGTCCGCACATTTCTGATAGGTGATCACTGCGCACCGTGTGGGAGTGCTCGATCCAACAGTTGAAGAGTCATTTGATGAAGGGGGAGGGGCCGTTGTGTGCCCAGGGGGCAGAACGACAACTGAGCTGATGTGGCCATAGCGTCGAAATTCGGCAAAAAGACCTGTTTTTAGTTGAGCATCACTGGAAAGGCGCGACGATAGCCGAGTCACCTTGACACCACGCAAAGATACTTTACCTCCACTAGAAACAGAGGAGGCAGTGGAGTTGCTACTGCTCCTGCCACAAGTATATCTGCTATTTTTACTTTCAGAACTGTTGATGGTGGACGAGAGAGACGAGATGTTTGATAAGCTAAAAGCCGCTCGAATAGGGCTCAGTGAGTTTACAGGTAAATCGGTGCCAGTGCTGAGAGTTCGAGGGCCAGCAGCTAAACTAAGAAGGCTCGAGTAGCCAGTTGAGGGCCGTTTGCAGATGTTAGCTGATACCGTAACCGAGGGCGATCCTTCACTGTTACTTGTATTGGCAGAGAAGCCGCGAAGAAGCCCGCTTTTCCTGCTGGCAACGTGTCCTCTGGGATTGAGACTCGAGCCCAGGCCACTAGAAGCTCCCATAGACACAGTACTGCTGTAGTCGGTCCCGGCGACTACGCAGCCTGCCATACCAGCATCCAGAGCAACAATGAGGTCGGCGCTACCATCACCGACGCCAACACCACCACCACCACCACCACCACCGCTACCGCCACTGACGCCAACGCTGCCGCCATTTCCAGCTTTTTCATCTGTCAAAGGGGTGGTGGTGGTGGTGGATCGTTTGACAAGCATTATGCCAGCAGGCGTCTGTAAGGAAAAGGCGGGAATAAATGGAAATAAGTAGTAAGTGCCTGAGTCAATATACGCTACATCGGTGGCAGCCAAATGGAAATTAAACCTCTGAAATGCTCTTAATCTTATTAACAAACCAAGATCAACAATTGAAGCTAAGAGAATATTTCTGGCCTATTTTGATATAAGATATAACGATAGAAAATGATTGCTCCTCACTTTGAATTCTGGCTAAGACCAAAATCTAGCACAACTTTAAACAATTGTTGACTACAAGTTTGTGAAGCTTCGACTAGGAAAGAAAGTAATCAAATCCAATCAGCTACAAAAATAAGATTAGGGTTAAAAGTAATGAGTCATAGTTTCTGCATCCAGATCTCTTATTAGCAATTCTTAGCTCTAGGAAAACAGCATAAGAAGCAGTGACATAGGATGTAGTTATATGGACAAACTCGCATGACATGAAGGATAGAGGCTGATTGAGAAAATATAAAACAGCACCATAAGAATCAGTTTAGGACAATTCTTACATTTAATAGTAAAGATACTTAGAGACAAGTGCAATACAAAATGAGGGCCCAAGTAGAATTACGAAAAACAGAGTGCAAGTGGA